CACTCGGGGTTAGGTTTATGCCAGTAGTATTTTTAATTGTCCACCGCAACCTATCTGCGCTTGGGTGGCATAATCTTCGATGCCACAAGGTTAGGTTTCTAATGGTTTCGTCAGAGGGAATTTTTGAATTTTTACTGTTGTGTTCTTTGTCTAATTGGCACGGGAATCCTGATTTGATATGTTTCATTGGTTCATCTTCTCCAGAAAGCCAGAGAAAAAATCCTCGTTTATTGACGTTTATTAAAGATATAATACTTCCATTACTGTCAACAAGCTTTTCACCTTGTAATGAGCATCCACTTCTGTAAAACAATTCGCCGCTTATAATGTTTACGGGAAGATTCTTAACATAAAAGACATTCTTTAATCTGAGCCTTCTCGCTTTATTTTTTGAATTTCTGACCTTGAGGCATACTTCGCCTATTTTCTCTGGATAAATAACTCCACTGCCTGTCCTTATTGCCACCTCCCGTGGTCTTAAGTTCCTTACAGACTCCTTGACAAAATTCTTTAGGTTGTTAGTGGCATTAATATCAGCCCCTGTATCAAACAGCCACCTCTTTCTAATTAAAGAGTTAATTGATGCGTTATTCAGTTGATGGGCAAAGTTTAAACTCACTCCATAGCATGAGCTATCATCATTACTTGAGTGTGGCGTCTCTTCAATCTCTGGGTTGTTTACTATCCCATTTTCTTCCATCCACTCATCGTACCAATCATCACCAACATTATACTCGATCATCTTTTCTTTACCCTTCGTTGAAATTTGATTTAAAGGACGATCATGATCTGACTTTCGAGCCGGGCACTCTCTTGCATAGTGATTGCCCCTACAGATGTGACATCGATGAGGACCTTGAGTTGTTCCCCTCTTGCTATGGCAATTATTTGCATAATGACCAGTTTTTCCACAAATGTAACATACAACTTGGTTCTTACTCTCAGGGTTCTTGTCACCCTGATTTATTTTAGGTTTAAAGGCCAGCTTGCCTCTATTTTCAATTTGACCTAGCCGAATATTGGCTTTATCTCCCCTTTTGTTGTCAAAGTTGTAGTTTACCCGAAAGTCTCTGTTGGGATAATATTTGTTTGTGTTATGAAAAGCCTTGAGACTGTGGTTGGAGATGAAATCGTTGATCAGTTCTTCCAACGACCATTGTTTGGTTTTTGAGGTATGTGAGGCCTCATAATGCCATCTGTGGGCCCTTTTCTCGACCGCACGTTTGAATATAAGTATTGTGATATTGTCAGCTAACTCCTGACCAGTTGATTTAAAGTCTCTAACGCAGACTCTAAATTTTGTCACGAAATCGATGGCGTTACCTCCGTCGTAAGCCAGCTCTATTAGGTCATTGAAAAAGTTTTCAGCCTGTATTGTGCCAGACTGTCGATATGTCTTGTTGAGTAATTTCATCATATCCGATCCGCTGCTTAAATCTTCAATGATTCTTCTTGGGTTATCGGTCACTGATCTCCTGATCATTGATCCGAAATTTGCTTTATCTAGGTTTGTTAATTTGATCCCTTTAACATACCCTATCGACTGCAAAGCGAACATCACGTCATTTTTATAAACTCCCCAATCCTGGGAGCCGCGTAAAAAGTGGTCCTTGTGTGGTTTCCACTGTAATTGATCCCACCTGAGATTTATTTCTGCTGTGGTTACTTGTAATGTCCTTTGAGGAGGACTCCACCAATCGTCGTCGCTGTCGGACTGTTCGCTCCTTTTCGCCGAAGAACTAGACTCGTTATCGACATTCTTCCTTCTCACATTGGATTTCCTATTGGACCTTGACTCGTCCATCTTGTAATTGCTGGGCCTTGTCTTGCCCGAAATACTTGCGACCGATTGATCGGACTCAAGATTGTTGTCTTTCTGTTGTGCAATAATGTCGCGATCAGCTTTAGACAGTTTTCCTGACATTTTCGTTGTGTGAAGAAAGTAAAGGAGTTCTTTTGATCGTAAAAAGATAATGCTACCATATAAAAACCTTTCTCAAAAGGTGAAGTTATATTACCCTAACTCGGTATATATAAATCTAAGTATACAAAAGTTACACATATTCAAGTATAGAGTGTTCCCCCATAAATCAACCCATTTAGCGTCGCTCGCTTATTAGGGCTAACATAGGACATGCAAGGATTAAGGTTTACACAATTATTATTTCCCTTGCACTTTTACAGATGTAGGTAAACGCCTAACGGTTTAACTGATATAAATTAAATAAACAAAAATCTTAGTGATCCTTATCTTTTAACTCCGTTCCTGAAATCTCTAATATCCTTCAATCCATAAAGTATTGACCTGACGGTCAACATTTACTTCTATCATTCCAAATACTCCCAGAACTCCAGTACCTCTCTCCCGCAAAACACTGCTCATTGCCATGATGTTGTCAGATAACAGAAATTTAGAGGGATAAGATGAGTAATATTGAGAGATAAATTGACATTTAAAGTATAATCGATTAACTGCGTCGGGCACGTTGGGCGGCTTTTGCCGTTCTGAAATCAATTATATACAATCTGATAAGACAACCAGATAAGATTTTGTACAACATCATAAATTTTGGTTTATCGACTGCAACCAAAAATAAAAATGTAAGTGGTATCGATGGAAACTGCGTGCGCGAGAAAAAGTCTCAAAAAACCTGCAGCCACGGCCAGACAAGGCCTAGACACCGGGACCACATGATGTGCGCATATTCATCTACATCTCCCTTCCTTGTAACAGTTGAGGCTAACTTGATTCAAATTACCATCACCGTATCGGGTGCCGGGTACGCTCCGGAAACTCATCGGAAGGCTTCTCCTCCATGATCAAGGGTTGGTGATGAGTAGGGCTCCGACCCTACTGTCTGATATGATCGTGGTTAGCTTCATGATAATGGTGATAGGGGAATGTGTTGAGAGATAAAGACGATACAGACCGCGAAAGCGATTTGGAATCATCGTCGAAGTGAGGACTTTGTTACTCAATCTCGGCTCTGCAGACTCTACAGTGAGAGATGGAGGTTTGTAGTAACTCCACTGACAGTTGTTGAGAAAAGTCCTTATGTAGAGACCAAAAAGATTATCGTGATTCTTGTACTCAACTGGTATATTGATTTCACCCCTCTATTTTACCTGAGTTAAGAACCTGTAGACGCTAATTTGCAATACTTATGTTGATATCAATCACAAAACGTATAACACATGATCTTAGCGTGTTTTCAGCGGGAGAATAAAAATGAAGTGTTGCGGCTAGCAAAAGGTAACTCATTTCAAGCTATGATGAACAAACTAGATACTAATAGAATTAAGAAGCCGGCCTTAGCCAAAGACTAATTTAAGATTTTTGATCTCGCAGAAGAAGTCGGAGTAGCAGTACATAATATAATCAATAGATCAAGAAAGGGACTGGGTGTAATCACACGGGATAAGCAATGTAGTGGTATTTTCTCGATGGAAATCACATAACCGAGGCTTGTAAGAGGTTGTGATTTGGCGGCTTTGTCCGAACTGTCTTCTAAGTAAATATCATGGATGTAGGTACTTGGATGGACCCTTGGAGGACCTAGTCGGGCCAAGTGAAGTAATATCAAGGATATGTCTCGCAAATTGACTAGAAATTATAATATGAATGAATATATTTTATTCTTGTGTTTATAGTCAGATTGGATCTATGACTAAACAAGAACGTGTGGGTCCTCTGCCTGCAGACCAGGTGTACCTGCACTTCTGGCAGTGTAATACCTCTTTTACCCTATTGATGGCATCTTGACGGCTGTAATACTCTCTTATATCTTTATTTGAGTATAAATCTAGAGGAACAGTTATTCCATCATCAGCTCTTGTCTCCAACCAATAAAATGGAGACCATTCGACTGTTTTGGCAGATAGGCAAAATCTCAGGAATCACTGAATGCGGAGCCCTCCTACTACGGACACCAGGACTAAATCCAAATACATAGCTACCATTTTGAAGCATCCGTCCGGGCGTAATAGACCTGTATATACCTCCATAGTCTTCTCCTTACTCTTCCCTTAGTTAGTGCCGCAGGATTAACCAAAGGTCGCGAGTTGATTTCAGAGAGATCTTGGTCGAGAGTGACTGCCGTGAAGGAGTCTAGCCTAGCATCCAAAAGTCGTGAAGGACATGAGGATGTCGTGTAACTCACATAGTTTATATTCCCTCATAGCTAGTATATTTGGAATTAAAGATCAGAAGAGACAATTTTGCCGACGGGTTGAAATCTACTTTTCTCAAAGACGACAGGGTGTTTTACTTTGCTTTCGTAGACTTTCTATTTGCCCGCCAGTGGGTAGCATATGCTGCGATATTCGTAGGCTTATGTAATTACTATTTTAGAGATTTGTATAGTAACATCTTCCCTCTTTCCCTGCATCATTGTCTTCGCCTTGATCATCATTGGTGCTCTCGGAGGCATATTTTTTAGGATAGAATATATAAGTTAGCTTGAAATTGAAAATTTGTGGCTCAATCTAGGCTCGATAGTACTGCAGAAAGATCTGGAGGCTCATAAGAAGCATCGTTCACAATTCTACAATGTTTGTTGGCCTGTTCTTACTCCTGACCCACAATGTTCGCGCACGTCGCATTCTGTTGGAACCTTACAGTCACGTGGCTTACTGAACTTTCTCTCTCACGCTAGTCACAGCTAAACAGGTTCGCTCAGAGGGCCTTGAAAAACCCTGTCAAGATGCAATAATAAATCGCGAGAAACGAAAATCAACCAGCTGTACCAAAATTACATTCCACTGAGCTATCTTGCATTATTCATGATCAGTACGCAAAATAAGTCGGGGTCTCTGAACATAATTGATTTTGATATCCATCATCTATAGAATGTCTCGCAATGGTACCACTCTCTATGTTACTGTATGAATTCCCTTATTCTAAACACCTGCTAATCTCAACTAAATTTTTCCAAATTATTCGCAAGATACTTTATTCTTCGCCCTTCAATATTATATGTGGCTAATAACAATTTTAATAGGGTTTTGGATCTTCTACGCGCGCTCGCGATCTTGCCTACGAATTCGAACGGTATGTCAACCAAACGTCAATATTTCGATGATCAGCTTTGAGTGTCAGCCATCTACCTATCTTACTCATATCCTTGTCATCTCAGAAGTTGTCGAAGATGTCGGCCACACCCTTAATGGTCCTGTCACTATCCACACTCGAAGTATGACTTTTGCTACTAGTTCAAATCATCGAGCTGCCGCAATTTGAATGGGAGTTATCCACAACTAGAAACAAAGCAGATAGCAAGAGCTATGCACTCTCTCCACACTCCATCATCGCTTGATATGTCCTTACTAATTCCTCGTCCCAAACTCATTGGGCTAACATACAAACCTCCAGCTATGGTCGACTAGTACGATGCGACATCCCAGCGCCGAGGACAGCTGCTAGTCGTCTGTAAGTTATGCAAATTCACCTTCCCTCAATGACCGACCTCTAATAAGATTGACCCTCAAGTAGATTTGCATTTGTTGAGTATGAAAGCCGCCGCGATGCCGATGATGCATATCATGAAATGCACAATCAGCGCCTTGACCGTGATGAAATTCTTAAAATTGAAGTCGGTCAATCCAATTCGCTCCCCTTACTACAGTATCTGACAATTATAAGTGGGCTCGAACGCCCCCTTCAGCTTCATGGCGCTTTGACACAGGACGTGATCGGGATCGTGAGCGCGCACCACCAGGACGCCGTTCACCCCGTCGCAGTGGCCGCTCACTCTCTCCTATTCCACGACGTGGCAGAGGTGACTTCTCCCCGCGCAAAGACGATCGCAGAGATCGCGACCTAGATCGCGACCGTGATAGTACGCGCCGACATAAAACTACCGAGCGCTCACGTAGCCCTCAAGACAGGTTAACGCAGCAAACTATATTTATTATTTTTGTCTAACATTCACAGGCCCCGCAGTGTTAAAGAGGATCGCGATAGAGATGAAGTTCACCCAAACCCTACAAAGGCTGAAGAGAGGAAAGGTATAAGTTATAACTTAGCTAAACCCTAAGAAAAGTTGCTAATCTCCTGAATCAGTAAAAGAAGATTCACCACCAGAACGAAATAATCATGATGAGTTGGACGTTGCGGAATAAAAAATCTATGTTTCTGACTGCTGATCATACTACCTGGTCTGGTTTCACTGTTATATCTAGAATCCTCCCTCCGAGACCCATATTCGCCAAACTATGCGAGTACAATCAAAATAGTATTATAAATTTCGGGGCATCAGAATACCGCCTCTTCCGACCAATCGATCGAGTAATCATATGTAGTTAAATGGCATACCATCAATTGGAATTTTTTTGGTTCATGGAACATCAAGCTGGACACGTTTTAGTACTTGTATCTGGATATACAGTCGAATAATGTAAACATGCGCCGCCTCACATTGCTGCTACTAATGGTTACTAGGATATTGCGGTTATTAACCGTTCGTGTTACCGCCTAGCTTAACCGTTCCGGCACGGGAAACTAAAGGTTTCCATGTCACGTTCATAAGTGTTCCTCTTCTTTCGTTCGCTTATTTTTTGGGTCAACTGCTTTGCGGTGGCGTGATAATAATTGACTCATCATAAAATGGCTGACCTAAAAAATAAAAAGGTTAATAGCGGATTGGCTAAATAATCATCCCAGAAACAGACAGAGATGGAGGTGTACTTTTCACATTGAACTCTCGATAAACTTCTTCATACGCTCTCACACGGTAATTTTAAAAAAAACTGAACTTACATCTTCATCGGCCCAGTAACTCATGTGACTTGCGATAGTATTCATTGGATTAATATCCAAAAACGCTCTGTGACATAAATTAGTTGCCATCCAAATATTACAGTTGGGAGTTAAATAAGATTTGATACTTACTCTTGCAGACAGTAGTCAACTCTACCATTTGGGTTAAGTGCGCGAACTTTTGCCTCTTCCCGCTTCAATCTCTTGCCGTTTTCATCTTCCAGCTTTTGATCCGATTGACGCGCCTTTTGAAACCCTGAGTATAACGTTTCAATATCGTCATCAATCAAAGTTGGTGCCGTAGCTCCTCCCGTCCCTTCTTGGTCAGCTTTAGCAGTATTCATAGCAAGCAACTTTTTTTTTGCGGACGTCTCCTCTCGTCTGAGGTTTGGAGCTTCTGGTACGCCAGTACTATTCATGTTTGCACCTGGAGTTTGGGATGACTGTCTCGAAGAACTTGACGCCTCCATTCTTGCTATATCATCATTGGTCAAGCCCAAAGATCGATTAAACAAACTTGATGCTAACCCTGAACTAAAACTAGTCCACATTCCACTCACACTCTGCCCCACCTTTGCCCCAATTCCACTCATGCTAGAAGATATAGTCCTTTTAGTGTATGGCATGGATTGAGGTTTCATCGATGACATAGCTGGCGAGATGAGTGGTTCTAGACGATACGCTATTGGGTCGGATGGGTGAAATATATTGTACAGCCTACCTACCTTTGGAGAGGAGACTGTCGATGTAAATCCAGTAGCGCCAACAGCATCAAGATCTGGTGGTAAGTTCGCGGCTGAGTTCACTCCAAAAGGATTTTGAAAAAAGTCAGAATCACCAGAGTCAGTGGGTGTAGGACTTCGACTGTACTTCCGAGCCGATATATTTCGTCCTCTAAGCATTTGAAAAAGTCCTATGGGCGATCCATAGCAGTAAAAGTCTTCTACATCAAATGCAAGATCTAAATCTTTTGTCTGCGATTTACTTGAGGATGGACGCTTTGACTGTGTCTTTTGTCGTATTTCAGAATTTGATGAGTTGTCTTTTTGATGTGATAGTAGATCAAACAATATAGCAGAGCCAAGACTGTGACCCAGTAGAGAAACTTTACCTTTGAATTCTGGGTTCCGTTCCTTGAAAAGCCTGAATATCCGATTAGACTCTGCTAAAACAATATTACAGATATGCTCTCTGTAAGCTGACTGAAAAAGAAGAATATCTAGAGCTGTAAAAAAATCATCAGTTAATTACTGAGAACTTATATCTATCTTACGTACCTAAATCAGTAATCAGGCTGCGTACAAATGGAACACCATCAATTGTAATATCCTCGAGACTTGGGTATTCATCTTCATCACCAAAAGCGTCACCAAGATCGTGTTCTTTTCTATTCTGTCTTACTTCTTTCTGCGGAAAATCTAAAAGATGACGCCAACAAATCGGTAGAACTTGAACTCGACAGTTTTTTGGGAGCTTATCGATATCAGAATTCAAAGCTTGAAGGTCGGCAGAATTTTCATAGACACTCTTAAGAGTTTGTCGCTAGAAAGAAGTCAATTTTGTCGACTATATTAAATCTGATAATGAGTGTGGACCATATGCGCTAACACTTACCAAGATGTTTACATCGTGGACGAAATTGACGGACTCGGTTCTAAAATTCTATTATTTTCTGAAAAACTCAAGGTAGATTTTATTATTCAAACCTCATGCCTAGACGCTGGCCAATTCTGTTTGAAATATTCTGTTAGTGACTTCTCAAGAAAATTTTGGGGACTCTCAGGTCAATAAGTCCTGTTAAGCATTGAAAAATAGTGTACACATGAAAGAAAATGCTATGTCTGTAAGAATAACTCACCCATGTGTACAGAGTATTAAGTGGTCTATTTGACGTCCTTGACTTTCACCATCCCGGTCATTATAGTCGTTACGGATCTCATTTTCGTCTCTCCTTCTTGCATCTTCGGCTTCTAACTCTTCTCCTAGTTTATTATCTTCATTAGAAATTATTCTTGCAGAGTCTTGGTTACCCAATATGCGTAGGCTACTTGGAAGTGCAAGCCTTCGATCCAATAATTTTCTTTGTTCCTGATCAATCTGTGGGGCAGCAGTATCAGAAAGTCCCGCGTTTTTTGGATTTGCAGTTGATGATACTGGCAACCCTTTGCTTTCGACTATATCTTTTGTCTTGCTTAGGTCGGTATATCCTCTTATTAATTTTACACCACCCAGATAGCCTCCACCGACAAACTTTTGGTACACTGTTGAGCTGACTCTAGACATTATACTGTCTGCTGATAACCAAGCGATGCAAGAATCTTGATATGTAACAATCGAATTCATGTATGTACCGAACAGCCTGTAGGTTTGAGGCTGGAAAGATGATAATGGTAATTCTCTCGAGGATGTGGTAAGCTTTTCGTTTGTTTCATTTTTGGTGGTTTCCAGATCATCGACGGATGGCTGTGGACTAACTGACCCAGGGAAATCTCCTTGCTTAGCTGGAGTTTTAGGTGAGCTAAATGATACCTCTGATAACTTCGGGTACCTGAAAGGTTTTATTTTTAGATACCCTTCTTCTAATTGAGCAGCCAGATTTTCTTCACATGGTCGTAAAGTGGTACCCTCTTGGTAAAACCATGACCCCCGGCACACCTCGTATATAGCACCTAGCCAGTAAACTGGAGCTATTTCTCGTTTTTCTACATCTACGTCGAACAAAAAATCTTCTTGGACAGGTACTTTGACTCTTCCACTGGAATGGTCGTCTGAGCAGGTATCGCTTAAGCCTGCGTTTGGTGCCACTTTGCTTAACTTGTTAAACTCATCAGCAAGCTGTTGATACGCCGCTTCAATAGATCGGGAGTCGTGTTCTGAAAATTTCTTAAATTTCTTCGGCGCTGGGGCTGGTTTTGATTCCAAATTCGTGCCTGTGGTCAAGAGTTTGGGTCTCCTCTTTGGAACCTTTTTCCGGTTAGCTTTTCTCCACAGCCGAAACGGTCGGCATGATTACATACGTCAACAGCGTGAAACCATCTAGCATTTAATGGTGGACAATCTGACGGATATTTCATTAAACTCAAGCCATACCATTGCTGCGTAATTCTATCACCTCCGAACTGATTTCTTAATCCAGATCCATCCCCTTGAGCATTCAATTTAGTGTTAGGTGAGCGGATAGTACCCCAGGCGGAAAGAGATTCCACTGCTGCAGAAAGATAAGACTTGTCTGCTTTTTCGGAATTAATCTCAGGGGTAGGATCCATATTTATTGTCTGCTCAGAGCCCGGTTACCCCGCTTATTACTTTTGCTGATATTTAATCGAATGGACTATTGAACACCCTGATGCCTAGGTAAATACGTTTGTAAGAGCCTGGGTAATATTTGCGCGGCCTGTTACAGCTTGGTGAACACTCATCAAGTTGAATGCTAGTTTTCGATCGCGACTAGAGCCGCTATATCTGCAGCTCATGTCATTAAACAAAAGAGAATTCAGTATAGTTGTTATGCCAAACAGTTCAATATGCGTCAGCGAAATATCAACGTGGGGCTTCACATACGTATGCCACAGTTGCCCGGGGAATTATTTGTCATCAAGTTTGTGACGTAATAACACATACACCCTAAGCCAGTATGATCTTATCAGCACATTCTAACAGGGGTACGTTTTCAGACGTGCGCTGACAGAAAGTGGTAGTATAGGGGCAAAGTATGAAATGATGCTAAGATGAAATTTGGCGGGGCAAAGAAACATAAAATGCTAGCTTTGTCCGCTACAGATCTCAATCTTCAAATCTCTCAATATAGAGTCAGCAGAGCTTATGCAGTCGATCAATAGCTAAGACAGTTTTTACATTCAGTGAGCCCACAACACTTTCCGCTACTCAAGATGGCACAGGATGGCTAGGTTACTTTCCAGCACATTTCTCAAAAGACAATTCTAGCAATTCAACTTCATATCAAACTTAGAACCTAAGTAATCTAACCAACTATTTATTACCAAATTTTCGCGCGATATAATATCAAATTTCCACCAACGATAATTTTTATTAAGTTATTTTTTTCATTTCCATATGGTCGAACCTCCCGCTCTCTCTCCTCCTGAATTTAGACGCGTAAAGAACTTAGGATTTTCCTCATTGGATCACAAGAGCCGACCTATATTTTATCATCATCATAGATACAACCTACGATGCAAGATTTTTGTGCTCAACCAAAATATTATCAATATTAATGGGTATCAGCAGTGACAAGAATATCACAGTATAGGAGTATATTTCACATGCGTTACGCAGAAGTAGAGTCGGTTTTAAGCATGGTTACAACGTTAAGAAAATAATTTTTTTTTCCTGCATCAGATTT